ATAACATGACTTTTTATTGAATTTAATCCCCCCATGTGATGTGTGTGTGTGTGTGTGTGTGTGTGTGTGCGTGTGTGCATGCGTGTGTGTGTGTGTGTGTTTTACCCTCACTATTTGCAAATTACTGAGCTAGATTATAGGGATACAAATATGAAAAAGACATTGTCTGCCTTCAGAAATTTATAGGGGTTGGGGGATGGGGAGAGGAGGAGGTGAGAGCTCCTAAGTAGTGGTGATTCTACTCCATTTTTAAAAGTCGTTCAATCTTAAGATAAACATTCTGGTGCATTCTTAAAGACTCACTTTATTATTTCACTTTTGCTAACTATAAAGTTAAAAGATTTCTGGAGTCAGGGACTGTTTCTGCTGATTTTACCTTTATAGTGCACAATAGCTGCTTAGGGTTATATCTTAGGAATGTGGTACGTGGAATCCGTGCTTAAATTTATGTCCAAAAGTTCACATCTGTTTTTGCAACTTGGATTTCTTTTCTCAGAGTGCTGCTGCAATTGAAGTTTGGATTGTTACGCTGCTCACAAAAATCTACTTATATAGAAACATGCATTTAATATGGGCTCAACAATATATCCTAAATGACATGCATAACATTGCTTCTGTGGATAATGCACTCAAAGTTCTAGCAGATGCCAGGAGCTCACAGCCCCCCTTGATGGGGCGCTCTTCCTGTCTGAGCTAAAATGAGAGTTAGATTACAGTTGTTTAGCAACTTGTTAACTCCCTGTAGCGGCAACAGACAAGCCTCTCTCCATGTCAGCGATTCCCTTAGGTCCTGATTTGAAAAACAAAAGCACAAAGGACAATCTGACCCATCTCGCCTTTCCCACAGTGTTAACTCGGCAGCGTGGATAGCTTCTAAGTAAGTCACTTCATAATTAAGCAGTGTGGGTAATGAAACAGGAAAAACAAACAGATCATTTGAACAGAACAAAGAAATCAGAAGTGAAACCACACGTTAAAAAAAATCATGTAACAAACGGATAATTTAGCATAATGTAATTCGGTTCTTGGGGGTAGGGAAGAGCCGGCTTTAAAAAGACATCAAAAGCAAAAGCAGGAACAGACAAGAATGACTATTTTAATTATATCAGATTTGTAAATTTCTGTACAAAAAAAGATACTATAAGCAGTTGGAAAACAATTCAACAGCAAAGGATTAATGTTCAGAATATAAAATAAACTCCTATGAATCAATAAGAAAATGACAAGTAACCCAATGGATCAATGAACAAAGAATGTAAACAGGCCAGTCACAAAAGAAGATATAAAAGTGACCATTATGTCTATGAAATAATGTTCAATCTCATTAATCGAGGAAATGAAAATAACAACAGGAAAATCCAGCAACAACTGGGAGAAAAAACCCCACTACTTACTATGGTGGAGCTACAAGTAAATACAGTTATTCTGGGGGAAAGATGAGGCAGTGTGTATTAAAAATAAAAATGTGTAGGAGCACTCATTTTCTTTTATGGAATGAAGTCTCGCCCAATGAAAAAATATACATTCAAAAAATAAAACATACATTCTCTACTATTCAACAATTGCTTCTTCTAGATAAATTCTTGTATAAAGTACTCAAGGAGACTTGTACAAGTACACTCTTTAGATGAGTTTTTATGATGATGAACAATTGGAGACAACCTAAATATTTACTCATAGAGGAATGGCTAATAAACGGAGGCATTTTCATGGTATGGAACACTGTGAAGCCATTAAAAGGAATGAGCCAGATCTACGTGGATCTAGATTTCCAAGACACATTCTTGAGTTGAAAAGCAAGGTTGCAGAACAACATAAAGTGTGATACCTTTAATGTAATACTCCATAGTTTCCATAGGGAAAAAAAAAAAAAAAAAATATATATATATATATATATATATATATATATTTATAAAAGATTGGGGAGGAAACATCAAACAGAGATTACCTGCAAACAGGGGGAAGTATTTTAAAGACTTCCTAGCATTATTTGTAATATTTAAATTTGTAAAAAAGAAATGCATTCAGGTATTACTCATATGAAAAAAACTAATAATACAGAAGAGTTGTTTTAAGTCACTGGGCTCCAATTAAGGCAGACTCTCAGGTTATATTCACTTCCCTGATATAAAATAGAATCACGTTTTGTTTTGCTTGAACAGTTATCAAATAGCTTCTGAAACTGATGTTTGTCTTCCTTCTTCCATCTCTCCCATACTTTAGCTTCAGTTTTCAATCTAATAAAGTTAGATTTCTACTAATAGATCTACTAATCTTTAACCATTATTGTGATAAGTTTGGGACTCCTTCAGTTGCTCCTGAAACATAATTTCATTAATGTGGGGGCATGCCTTGTTTTTTCTCTTGTCACTAGGAAACCATGATGTCACCCCCCCTAACTTACCCTTTCTCTCTTTGCTTTTGGCTTCGTGATTTTATTCCCTGGTATTTAGAGGATGTAGGGAGTGCATGTCTGTCTGTTTTAATTGTTAAATACCACCCCCCCATACAATGGAGGCTATATCATCTAAACAATGTTTGTTTTCAAAAGACAAAATTACAACAGACTGAGTTTTAAAGGCCTTAATAGGCTTTATTTGCCATTCTAGAATTGGGCAACACTTCATTCCATAAGATAGAACAAGGAATAAGTGTTCCAATGAGCCTAATGCAGGAGGTTGGTTTTATAAACAGAGAAGGGCTGAAGAAAGCAGAAGCAAAGAACAAAAAACAGATTGACCATTTCAAAGTTACTTTCCTTGAAAGGTGGGAATAATAGAGAAGTAAATGACTGGTTAGCGTCAGGTTACTTTTTATTGTAAGAATTCAAGACAGAAGGAGTTTTACTATCATGCTGATTGAAATAGGCTTGTGGGGAAATTTGGCTATTATCTCTCTCCTGATTTCTCAGAAAGCCAGATGACAACTCAGTTTCAGTTTGGTGACTTGGAATTGAAGCGTGAGTGACACCATTTTGATTTTTAGTCTGGTCTGTTAGAGCCTTGTGCAGGCGCATAGTCCACAACAATGGTCTCCTCTAATTTTAACTTAACAATACTCTGTTTAAAAATTTATTTATAAATATTTCTCTGTATACATATTAAAAACATGTAGCATGAAAAAACAGGCAAGCCTTAACAGTTGGCTTCAGATGGATTTCAGACATGCTGTGACAGGACCAAAAAGGAAGCTGTCACATTGGGTAGGAAGTGCCCTGTTGAGGTCCCTGCTCTGTTGGGTCTTCTCTCTGAGCTTGAAACCCAGTGGGTCCAAATACTGGTGTCTTTTGCAGTCTTTTCGCAGAAGTCACTTTGAGTAAGAAGGAACCGGGGTCTTTTCCAGTATTTACCACGTGTTATCTGCAAGGTGTTACAATTACGACTCTTAGATCAGTGTCTACGTTCATTGTCTCCACAGCCAGACGTCTACCCGGGTGGGGAAAAATAGGGAACTGTACCTTCGTTGGGGGATGTTAGTTCAGCTAAGGGTGGACCAGCTCGAGGGCTATCTACCACCCTTCTAAGTATTAAGACCCAGTTTAGGGGGTGAGGGCAAGGGTTGGAGGAAGTAGTTGGCAACTATCCTAAAATCTAGGAGTTCACAATTTGCTGACATGGACTGCAGCCACTTAAGCTCCCTGCTCTCACACCACAGATAGAGAGTGACCAGAGTGTGCTCTCATCTCTGGTTCTCATTTTTAAAGCAGAAGTTTAAAACAGTGCAATCCTCTTTCCTCTGGGGTTGGTTTTGCTTTAAACCACTGAAGATCTGGGGAGTGAAAGCAATGTGGAACCTCGAAGTCGAGGATGCGTCCAACCCCAGGCCCAGACTGCAAAGCAGGGACTTTTTGTTGTGTGGTCACTAATGCCAGTCAAAAGAAGGTCTTTAATCAGAAGGTCCAAGACACATTTGGGCTCCATCTCAGGAGAAATCTATTAAGGAGCTTACCCCCACCCTGGTGTCTATGGCCAGCTGGCTTCCTTAAAAGGAATGTAATTGGCATTTTGATGCATATGTATTTTTTGTTTCTGTGTTCGAGTCTCACTCTATCGTACAGGCTAGAGTGCAGTGGCATGCTCACAGCCACAGCAGCCTCGACCTGCTAGGCTCAGGCAATCCTTCTGCCTCAGCCTTCCAAGTAGCTGGAACCACAGGTGTGTGCCACCATACCCAGCTAATTTATTTATTGTAGCGATGAGGGCTCACCAATTTGCCCAGGCTGGTCTTGAACCTGTGGGCTCAGGCAAACCTCTTGCTTCCACCTCTCAAAATGCTGGGATTGCAGGCATGAGCCTCCACACCCAGTTGCATATACATTTTTAATGTTAATCAGACTTTCTTAGTGAAGTTCAGCCAAACCAAGCAAATATTTATTTTAAAATTCCATTAAAAATCAGGAATTTACTATTTTTCATTTTTAGGCTAGCGTGCAGTGGTGATCATAGCTCATTGCAGCCTCAGGCTCACACCACCACACTGGCTAATTTTTAAATTTTTTGTAGAGACAAATGTCTTGCTATGTTGCCCAGGCTGGACTTGAACTCCTGAGATCAAGGGATCCTCCCGTCTCAGTCTCCCAAGTAGCTGAGATCACAGGTGTGCACTTCTGAACCTGGCTCTCTGTCATTTCACCCAGAGAGAGCACATCTGAAGCCACAGCTTGCCATCTAACTTTCTGGACCTCGAGAAGACAGGAGAGAGCAATATTTATTTCTCAATGTTCAGAGGGAAATTACAAAATTTCAGTTGTATGGTAAATGCTGAAGTACTTAATGCAATAAAGTCCTTTCCTATTAGAAGCAACCCACACCCGCAGCGGGAACACATTTCTGCTGAGGATTAATAGTGGAGACACAGGTTTCCTCTTCAGGGTAGGAGCACAAAAATGCTCTTTAACCCTCCTTGAACCTTTATGAGAGAAAGCACAATGGTTCAGAAAAGCCTTTCCTTCCACCCTCACATGCAGAATGGCCATCCGCTGCTTGAGAGGAGAGACTCACCTCATTGTCCTGGTGGTTAATCTCACTGAGGTTCGACTGCTGCAACAGGACTGTTAGGAGCCTATAAGGAAAAATTGGAGAAATGGCTTAAAAGAACAGACAGCATGGTGCCCTTGGAGTTGATGTAAGAACACCGCATTAGAAAGATGGTCAGTTGAAGGTGAGGGCCCTTTCCATTTCTCTGGGGGAAAGGAGCAAGCCTGATAGATAAGAGGGCACCTGTGAGGAGTCCCTCTGTCTCTCCTGCCTTCTCTCTGTCTTAATGTTCCTGGAGAGGACAAGAGAAATGGAGAAAGTGAATCTGTAGGTTCACCGTTTGTCACCTGGGCATGTCTTTGTGTAGGGTATTGTCCAGACATGGACTGTTTCCCCCCTCCATCAGGGAGTGGTCTCTGGTCAAGGCTGGTCTCTAAAGGGCAGACTTATTCCTAATATTCAGTCATGGGAGGCAGGCGACCAAGCAAATCTGAAAGTAATGTAGTCGTCACTCTTAATTGATGCAATTGTAAACACTGGAAGGAATTTGACTGATTAACTTGCTTGCCTATAAAACTACTAACCCAAGACACAGATTCTTCACCAAACTCATTGTCTTTTCCCGGCTGGACCTCTGAATGATTGCTTTGGAATAGGTAAACATTATGTGCAGGGCCTCTCAGATTTGGGGCTACTGCATGCCACCTTTAAGAACCCAAATCATCTAGTGCTTATTCTTTACGCATTTTACAAAAACACATATAGTGCTTTCAAACTGCTTCACTCCTAGGTGCATCTGTCATACCTTTTAAATGCGTAGCTTATACCAGGAGGAGTCCGCATTTACAACTTTGCTCACTCTTTGGAGAATATACAAATGTCTAAGCATAAGATGACAGTAATCAGTGTGAAACAATTATCCATGATTCTCAAGTTCAAGCTCTTATCCCACTCGGGTCCCCTAGTTGGTTGGCTGAGGCCAGCCTTCCATCTGTGAGAGAGGGAGTAGCCGAGCACAGTGGGTAGGAGCCTAGGCTCTGCGACCAGATTACCTGGGCTCACATCCCAGCCCTGCCACTAATGAACTTTGTGACCTCAAGCAAGTTACTTACCTGCTCTGAGCCTAAACCTCCTCATCTGTGAGATGGGGTCATAAAAAAACTACCCATCATAAAGCTCAGTGTGAGCATTAAGTGAGTTAATATCCATTAAACATACAGAGCATTCTTGAAACACCCTAAATGTTATTTCCAGAACACTTAACCCTAGAAGTGTGAACCCATCTCACAATCACCTGGAGAGATTTTTTTTTTTTTAAACCACAAATACTTGGACTCTATACTCAGGGCTTCCAACTCAGTAGATTTGGGGAGAAGCCCAGCTTTTATAGTTTAAAAATAGCTATTAAGGAAAATCTGGTAAGCAGTCAGATTTTGAAACTATTAAGAAAGGTGCTGAATGAATTAAAATCAATGAATACTCGTCAAGATGATAAAAAATAGTGTGTGGGCAGACAATGGAGGAAATTCAGAAATTATTTTTGAAAGAATTATTTGAAAAGCGAAATGTTGAGTCTCTTTCCCAATCAAATTTTCATCGTCTCTTGGCTTAGATGACATCTAAAACCCTACATTAATTAAATTGCTACTTACAATAGAAGAAAGCTGGACTAATCATAATGCCTTAGTATTAAAGCTTAAGGAGGGATGAACTCCTGGTTATTTACTGTGGGGGTGAAATGACCAAGAAGCCTACGGTTAAAGTTTGGTTTTACCCTCAGTTATTTGAGAAGCCAGAAGAATGCTAAGATGTAACTGGGGATTCACTGCTCGTGACCTCTCTGAGTTTCTGTATACCATGTATATAATAGTAAAAAACAAAACAAAACAAAACTCTCCAGGTGATGTTTAATTCTGTATACCATGTATATAATAGGAGTAGTGTTGAGGATCGAATGACCCAACAGGTAGAAAGCTCCCGGCACACAGACTTTAAAGGAGCGATGGCTGTGACTGCAAGTAGTATATTTCGTTTATGCTTTCTGAATTCTAGTCTCATCCTCCATCTGGTAGAAAGATGCTATTATCAATAATTGCATTCTGGGTGACCCTATTTTTGTCTTTGTAATTATTTCATTACTGCGTGTATTTTCCCTCATGGCTTCTTTATGATGACTGACCTTCTTCTTCCTCTCTCTCCTTTTTTCTCTCTTCTCACTGGCCACTGTTTACTCTCCAGGGCCCATTTGCTGGGAGGGAGTGGGAGAGGAAGGCCATGGGTCAGCTGTGGTCCAGTGTGGTTATCCTCGGTTAACCCTGAGCAGACTGAGATCATCTGTAGCCAGATAGGCTCTCCTGGGGCGGCTTCAGCGCTCAGTAATCACTTTAAGGAAAGTGGGGCTCTGACCAGAGTAGAATGGGGGTGGGGAGAGCGAGACCTCTTGTCACTTCCTGGGTGGGCCTCCCAAGGTTGTGGGGTGAACCCTGAACCTCGATATAGCTCTATTTGCCTCTCAAATCCATTCTCTTCTCTGCGATGTTCTGCTCTGAGGCTGACCTCTAAGGGTAGCATCAACCAGGCTCCCTTGTCCTCTGTCTTTCTTTGGGTTTGACCTGTGGGGGAACTGGCAGAAAAAGGGGGAGGGGACCGATCCCTGCCTGGCAATGATTGGGTGTCTCTACCAAAGGCCTTGGCTCCTGCTAGGTGGCCCCTCTCCCATAGCTAGAGCTACCACCATAGCTCCCAGAAAGTTCTAGTAAAGCTCCCCCCCCCCATTTTGGCCTAGGGGGTGGGAATATTTTCCGGCTCTTTTGGGGGAGGAGAAATGGGTTGAGGGTTATATTGCTCTCTCTTATTGGTTAATTTGAAATAGTCTTTCACTAGACTTTCGCCAGGTGCCTCCCTTTATTCTGTCTCCTCTGTTACCACCCTGATGGATACATGTGGCCTGACTCCATTCGATTCCTAAGTCCCTAGCACTCATAGCTCTTCAGAGCTGGACACAAATTGACAGATGAAGCCTTCCATTTTAGGAGAGCAACCTGAGACCCTGCAAGGCTTGTCAAGACCATCACACAGTGCCTCTGCAATCCAGCCTGAATTAGAAGCCAAATGTCCCATTGCCAGCCAATGCTTCTTCCATGGGTTCTATGGAACAGAGATAATCTGCAAGATACCTGGCCCTTATCTGTCTCAATTACCTAATGACTTGCAGCCCTCTGTTCCATTTTCCCTGAGCTCCTGTTTTGCGCTATGGTGGCCCAGGAGTATTTCTTCTGCACCCCCCCTTAGCACTGGCTCAGACTCCCTCTTGCCCTCACATCTCCGAGGCAGCAGCATAAGGCCCATCTCAGCAGGGCTGTGGCCCAGGTACCACAACCGCAAGAGTGCTCGGTGGCTCAGCTTGTAATCCCGCATTTTGGGAGGCCGAGGTGAGTGGATGGCCTGAGCCCGTGGGTTCGAGACCCGCCTGGGCCACTTGGTGAGACCTCATCTCTATAATAAATCAAAAAATAAGCCGGGCGTGGTAGTGCATGCCTGTGAATGCCTGTAATTCCGGCTTCTTGGAAGGCTGAGGCGGAAGGATCGCCAGAGCCCAACAGGTCAAGGCTGTGGTGGCTGAGAACGGCCACTGCACTCCAGTCTGGGCGACTGACTGAGACTTCAACTCAAAAAAAAAAAAAAAAGAGTGCTCCCAGACAGGTGGTGTGTAAGCAGTAAGAACCCTGAGGCTGAGTCCAGACTGTCTCTGTCTCTTTTAGAACCCTCGCTTTGGGCTGGGCACACTGTCTCACACCTGTAATCCCAGCTCTTTGGGAGGCTAAAGTGGAAGGATCCCTGGAGGCTAAACTGGAAGGATGGTGTGAGGCCACAAGTTTGAGACCAGGTTGGGCAACACAGCAAGACTCTGTGTCTACAAAAAATAAAAAAGTTAGTTGGGTGTGGTGGCACATACCTGTAGTTCTAGCTACTTGGGAGGCTGAAGTGTCACTTTTGAGCCCAGGGGTTTGAGGCTACAGTGAGCTATGACTGCACCACCGTATAGACTTGGAAACAGAATGAGACTCTGTCTCAAAAAAAGAAAAAGAAAGAAAGAAAGAAAAGAAAAACGGACAGCTCTTTCACGTCCCCTCCCACTGTGGGAACTTTTCTGTCCTCTCAATAAATCCTTTCTCAAAAAAAAAAAAAAAGAAAAAGAAAGAAAGAAAAGAAAAACAGAGTCCCCACGAGAGAATAATACCTGCTTTCTAGAGATTTGTTATGATTTTAAATGAGTCATGGCACCTAAAGTCCTTAGAATAGGCCATGCTTGCTATAATAAGTTTTGTATAATGATTAATTCTTTTAAAGCTCTTACCCTCTATTTTCTGGGTCTGCCTTAATTAGTATTAGGTGACTGGTAGGACAGAGAGAGCAAAAAATCAGCTGGAAGCATCCTGGGGACAACTTATTACTGTGAGTTTTTCTGTATTACTTGCCCTTCAGGCTGCTCCCAGCCCTGGAGTGGGCCAGCCCAGTGATAGGTGGGTAAAATGGTACCCTGGCCAGTCATCTTCTTGTCCCTGGGGCTGCCTGAATGTGAGAACATGCTGCCGTGAGACATTCAGCACAGGTTAGAACACAACACATGGTAACTGGAGAACAGGACCCCAAGGAAATGATTTTCTTCCTCCTTCAGGCTGTAGTCAAGAGTGATAAAAAGAAGCTGAGCTGCTGGCACCCTGACAGGGAGGGGGAAAAAAAAAATCTGCTGGTAGCCATGGAGATCGCAAAAAAAGACCTTCAGAGAGCCCCGTGGCTGCTTTCAGAGGAAATTGCTGTTTGCCTTCCAGCACTAGCGTGCGCAGCATTGTACAAACACGACTGTTCTCTTTGGGGCTTTGTCTTAACGATCACGTCCCCCTCTTTCACACAGGCGCCCTGTGAATGTCCCAACCAAGAGAGCAAGAAAAGCCACAGGGAGCTGAAAGGGGGAAAACTTGAACCTGCTGAGAAGCAAAGGGTTCAGAGTAGGAAGGGGAACCATGAGATGAAACCTGTGCTTCTTTGCTTTTGTCAACCCAACATGCCTTCGTGTTCATAATT